ATCACTATATAGAGCAGGGACTACATAGTGGACTACATAGTGGACTACATAGTGGACTACATAGTGGACTACATAGTGGACTACATAGTGGACTCAGTTAACTTATTGTTTGGATAGATAATCGCTGCTTTTTGCTCCCTGTTGGTCACGCAACTCCTCCTCCACCGTGCCGTACCTGCACCATTCTAGTGGGCCGCTGTAACAGCAAATCCCATAATGTTTTGCGAGGAGAGCTCTCAGCACAAAGCATTCTGGGATATATCTGTCTCTTCTGAGGTATTTCTCTTCTTCTACACTTCGTAGACACTTTTCACTTACAACCTTCGGCCAACTTCAAAGAACTGCTGTGAGAAAGGTGAGCTCCAATGTCTGAAACTGTAGCTCACCACAGATCTATGCCTGAATGTCACATGCTTAGAAAAAGAAAGCTAAAGGGACGAACATGTAGGACGGATGGATATCACCAGACTGATTAACAATTAAGAGGACCACTCATTAAGATGATCCACCTGGAAATAAAAGATCGTCCTCTATACCTTTAAGACGAAAATTTATATATCGAAAATTAAACTTGGAGATTAGATTTCTAAACTACAACCACAAAGCTCTACCTACAGCTATGATAGAGGACGTTAAACATCATTCAGGATTCCCCTCCAGCTCCTCACCTTTTAGATTCGCATGAAGCAACAGAACCAGGTTCAGAGACTCAGAACAATGTTTTTTTTTCTGTAATCAGGCAGAAGTGACTGACAGAACCAGGACTCAGCAGCATCACTGATCCGTCCTTTAGTTACATCATGCTGAAACTTTTATGCGTCTATAACATCTGCAGCATAAAGTCAGTAATTTCAGGGTTTTACAGAAACCTCAGCTGTTTCTCTTGGTTTCCATTCAAAGCAGGGGGCTGGAAAATTACAGCAGATATATAAACACATTTCCTCTATAAAAGCACCAAAAGGTGGCAGAAATATGGAGCCCAGCTCAAGATCTACGGATGAATGAATCCGTTTATCAGAACTGAAAACCACAGGAGCCCCAGATTATTGATTTACTCACAAATCTGTTCTCTTTTCCTTTGGTATCTTTGCAGCTCTTCAGCAGCGCCTTCTCAATATCTGCGCTGTTCGAGTTGGATTCCTTCACCGACTCGTAGAACTTTCCCAGGAAGGTGACGCACACTAAAACAGAAAGGAGGACAAACAGTCAGTTTTGGTCTCATTGCTTCAGGAACCTTGATTTCAGTCTCCAGTTTCCCATCAAAGTAAAACGGCAAACTGAACCAACAGGTTGGATATCTTCCTCTGATAATGAGCTATAGATCATCACTGGAAAGATCATTTAATCAAATCTGGAACGGCTTCCTTGTTTGGAACGACCAGGACTTTATGCTAATAAAAAAAACAAAACAATGCTGTGATTTCAAGTTTTTATCTTCAATGACAAAAATAATACAAAAAAAGTTAAAATCTTATTTTCCAGTTCTGTCAAGCTATGATCATCCAAAATATTAGAAAGCTGCTCTAAACCAATCCGAATGTTTCAGTTACCTAAAGAAACACTCAAAGCAGCATCTGCAGCAGGTTATAGATGAAGATCAACTAAAATGTGTCTCATTAAGGCTCAGAGTCCTGCTGGAGTTTAAGAAATGTTTGACAAAGAAGTTTTTCAATGATCACCGGCTGCAGGTTTTGCTCAACAGAGATAAAAAACAAAAAACTAAAATGTCAAGGATGTCTTTTGTGACGTCTGGTCAACCCTGAACCAAAGACTATTTTCTGTCTTTTTATATCAAATCTGGTGATAACCTCTTCCCCACACAGATACACCATTTTATTTAACTTATTTTTCATATCTAGCTCTCTCTTGTTTTTGCTTTAATAGTTTTTATTAGTTTCTCCAGCCTGGAGATGGATAAACATCCTAAGATGTAGCCTTAATGGATCAGACGTGTTAGCTTAGAACATCCCAGAGATGCTGGATTGGCCGCAGCAAAGGTAGACCAACATCGGACAGCCCATATAAGCCTTTCCCCTCCTCAAATCACTTTAATCTGATAAGTGCATGCATTCATTAGTGCATCAGCAGTCATGTCTTCAGATTACTTAAAGAGCCTGAATCGCAGCTTCCTCCACTTCTAAACCATTGTTGACGTTTGTTAATAAATGTTAATAGCCTGTACTTGAATAGCTGTAACCATAAAGCTCTTTACACTCCAGACATCCACGCACACATTTACAGTTTGTGACGAGCTACACTGTAGCCACAGCTGGCCTGGGGCACGCCGACGGAAGTGAAGCTGATGCTTCAACTGATGCTTGTTTTTACAAACGATGCCAATACTCCCATATTTTTGGCATCGGTCTAAACCATCCGCAACAAGTAACGCTGATTTTTATGATTTCAAGGTGTAAACACAGAGCTTTCCTTTAACAGCCCCTATTTTTTTCTTATTTGAAGTAAATTGGAAAATCTTTTCATTGCAATTTTTAAATGGAGGAAGAAAAAGCAAAATGAGATTCAACAGATCTGGGATTAGAATAATCAGGCTTTAAAAACTTGTATTGGTTGATCTCAAAGATGGAGATCTGGGGAACTTGGGGCCAATCGAAAGCCTCAAACTGGTTGCAGAGTTTCTTAAATCTTCTGTGACAGAGATGGTGATTCTGCTGCAGTCAGGGACTAGAGTTTTCATAAAGATGGTCAGCAAAGATGATAAGAGGGAACATCAGAAGCCTCTTTACTTCTTCAGTTTTCTCCATCCAGGAAACTTACAGTTACTATTCGGTTCTGATAGGATGCGATCAGCATGAACACCAGGAGGGATCTGCAGCTACACATCACCAAACCTGAACCTGGAAACAGCTTTCTCTTTAAAAGCTGGATCAGAAAATACAGCCGTGCCTTCAGACAAACCGAAACACAAGAAACATTTGATCATAACCTCACCCCAACAGGATTAACATGAAACAAGGAACGGAATGTTCAATTAGTTTGTTCTGCCTCCAGTGACTAAAAGGTAAGAATTATAAACAGTTATGCAAATTAATTTCATAGAAGGTAACACCTGTACTGAGTCCTGATGAGTGAAACATTTAGGAAGATCTCATCCATTTAAACCTGATTAATTAATTGACTTTATTGATCTCACAGTGGAGAAATGTACTCGTTACATCAGCTCAGAAGAAGAAGGTGCCAAAGGAAGAAAAGAATCATGGGGGTATATACAGTACATCCTCACATATATCTCTATCTATATAGATATATGTATATATCTATATAGATATATCTTAGACTTAGATTTATTTTGTCATTTTGTAGACACAAATGTAAACAAAAAGAAATGTCGTTAAGAACAGCTCTATAAATATCTGTACTCTCTAGATCTATCTATCTATAATATATATATCTATATATATATATATATATATATATATATCATATATATAGATATATATATAACAGCTTTTTTACTGCTCCTTAGATTTTATTACTCTTCTATTGTGAATAAATGTTAGACATTTATTGAATTGAAATTGAAGTCAAATTCCACGCCAGATCCTGTTTAGATAACATTCAATTTAAGAATATTTTGGGCGCTCTCTTTAAATGAATGAAAAAGTATCAGAAGAATTCAGTCACTCAGTCAAACAACACCAAATGCACAAATCGGATAGAGTTGGATTCCTTTCCTTTCCCGGTGGAAAGTTTCTGAAGCTAAAAGCTAACGTCGTCGCTGCTAACAGCAGCTAACTCTTCCTACCTTCACATTCTCCTTCTTTCAGGCCTTGGACGGGTCCCGGCACCAGAGCGAGGGCCAGAGCCACCGACAAGCCGCCCAAACACAACATTTTCAGCACCAGTTAGGTCAGAAAAACCTCCGTGAAATAACCGCTGAGGACCGACGGTGTGAACTCATGAGACTCCGCCGCTTCGGAGCTGACAGACGCCGGTAAAACCAGGAGTGGGCGTTGAGTCCCGCACAGCCGCCACCCGATTGGTTAGAATTTCCACCAACCTACACGCACTTTGCTGTGATTGGACAGCGGTACCACTTTCCGGGCACAACGTCCAGTTGGCGCGGATTGATTGGTCCACAGCGACACGATGCTTTTAGGTGGAGGAATCTTCCAAAGAGGATGGAAATACATTCATGATGATAAATCTTAAACCCTGTTTGGTGATCTAGATTAACAAACAGAAATAGAAGAGAATAGAAAACACTTTATTGTCTACCATACACGATGATAGCAGAAATTTGCCTTTGGCTTGCTCACATTCAATAATGTATAAAAATACATTAAAATACAATTATAAAAGAGTTAATTGCAGACACAGCAGCAGCAGCAGATTAATTTCATCAATGGAAGGGAAACAGAACAGACCGAGTTACATTTACAAATAGAAATAGTAAAACATACAGTTTTATATGAAATATTATATTTGAAAGATACATCTAATGTTACATAAATTACAGCTCCACACTGAGAGGCTCTAGGTGGGGTTTTTACTTACAGAAGCTGAACTCTACACCTCTCGATCAATTAAGGAAAGATCTGGAATAACTCTTTAGAAAACCATAGTTATAAACCATAAGCCCACAAACAGATTCATATGTTTGCATTTTCAAAATGAATATGTTTGATTAACCATATATCAGTAAAAGATGTGATGTGTCCCCCAGAGAGGATGCAGAAAACAGGGTTAACTTCCAACACTTCCTGTTTGTTAAACCTAAATCACTCTGCATTTAACCCATCCCCTTGGGGAGCAGTGGGCTGCCACTGTGGGGCGCCCAGGGAGCAGGGAGGCTACTTGGGCTCCGGCCCCGGATGTTCCCCCAAGAGCCCGGGTCACCAAATCCACAGGGTTTGTTGTTGATGAAGAGAAGAATAAACACAGGTAAAGACTTGCAAGTAAATCAATTTCTTCACATTTTATGGAGGGGGAACTGATTATTTCAGGCAGCTTAAATATCCATTCTCTCCTCTCCTCCTCTCATATCTTCGAGAAATAAAGAGCAACTGTTTACAAATTCTCAAAAACTGTTATGTGTGATAGCATGTCATATACTAGAAATTTCCTTAATCCAGTAATCTGTCATATTTGACATTAAAAAGGGATTTAACTGAAAGTTTACACCACTAGGCTGCTACTGCCCTGTGGCATTGGGTGCTGAAAATGAGCAACAAATCTCATCTGCTCTTCAACCCTGCTTTTACTGTTTACTGCTGAAAAATTAAGGAGAACGTGAAGTTTATTTATTTTACTGCTGGATTTTCTTTTTATATTTGAAAAATATAGCAGGACAAATCTTTTTTACTTCTTTTGGGCCCCTCCTCAGTCCAAGGGCCCTTAGAATCGTCCTAACTTTTTCCCCCCAATACGGAATCCATATAAACCCACTACAAAACATTCAGGTTTTCTTCTTCTGTGGATGCAGTAAAAAATGACCAAGATCCCAGCAGAGCATTCAGCATCTTTATTGAGCAAAGAACCACAGACAAAATCCCAGCTGGTCTTAAAATGTTAGCTCAGGAGAGCTTTGGCAACTTCAAGTGTAAACATTAAATCTGGAAAACAAAGAGATTAACAGAACACACTGAAAACAAGCTGGACCTAAAGAGACCGTCGCCTGGGATGGTTCCAGTATAATCCAGATTAAACCCCAGTTGGGCCATCTTTAGTCCTCGTTCCGTCCTCCGCTCCCCCTCAGAACACAAGCTGTAACTTCATGACTGTAGATGGAATGAAGGTCACTTGTCCTTTAGGTGTACATCATCTCAGCCATGTGGGACATCTTCTTAGGGATGTAGAGGTAATACTCCATGTAGCCAGAAAGGTCCTCTATCGTGATGTCGTCCACGTAGGCTCGCGCCTGCTCTGAGCACGAGCGAGGTGAGCCGGACGACAGCGGCGAGGATGATGAAGTACTGCTCAGAGTTCTGGATTCGTCCTCCTGGACCGACAGGCTCCCTTCGCACTCTGAGATGACGCTGCGGAGCCCGGTAAAGGAGTAGACCTCCACATCCTTCCAACCAGGAGCACGCGACCTGCAGTGGCACCGCTGTCTGGTTTCCAGCTGGCTCTCCTCCCTGGGTTCTGACTCACTGCCCTGGCAGCAGGAGCAGGGGGCCAGGGGCCCGTCTGAGGAGCTGCGACTGTGGAGCTCGGACAGAGCTCTAAAGTCTGCAGTGTTGGATCCAAGAGGCGCAGAAGCTCCTGCTCGATCAGGGGAACCATTATCTGTGCCGCTCTCCTCACTGGACCGGGCCTCTCTGGAGCTTCTACCCTCCCACCGCGGGGACTTCGCTGCTGTGGTGATCTGCGGTAAGGATGGCGAGGAACCCACGCCGCCCATCCGTGTGTCATAACTGGGGCGAACTCCAAAGACCACAGGAGAGCCACGGCCCAACAGACCTGAGGAGCAACGCTCCGTCTGAACCGGAGGCCCAGCAGAGGAACCAGGAGATTCATCAACTGCTGCTTGAGGTTCTGCAGACTCAGGCAAGGCCAGGCGCTGCTGCTTCAGGCAGCCACCGGGGGGCGCCAGAGCTGAGGCTGCGCTGCTGCAGTAGGTGAACCTCGGAGGGTGGAGGATGGGAGACTTGGACCTCCGTCGTCTGGTCCTGGATGAGGTTCCTCTGCTGGTTTTCCTCGTGCAGCTGAAGGAAAGCAAAACAAAGATGAAAGATCTGCAGTTTAAACGTAGGATAAAAAAACCCACTGCAGACATAAAGACCAGCTGGTTCTGTGCTC